CCGCTCTTTTTGTTTGTCTAGTTCAAAACCAAACATTACATATTCTGCAGGAACTCAGGCCAAATTGCTTATTGCAAGACTCTTCCTCACTGCACCGAGTTAGCTCTTACTGTTATCTAGATAGACAGCCCTAAGCCGTTCCTCTTAAGATGGGGAGTGTGAATACTTAAGTTTAAATTGTGTTAAACTCCTGTGTGGAAATTTTGATCGTGTACAGAATGGCATTAAGTAGGTAAACCTTTACCTTTTCTGAGCTGTGTAGCTTTTTCTTGCTATTGTCTACTAAAACAAGAACACAGGAAGTAAATATCCTTCTGGTTCCCAAGTATTGATTCACTTTAACTTGTGTTGTTCTGCCAAAGCAAAGCTGTCTTCACTGGTTTAATCGGTCTTTTTTATGTATGTCTGGAAAGAGGTGCAGAAGTTCTGCTAACAGAGCATTGCAAGCAGACACTGAACATTTTTTTTTTAACTTCCCTAAATAGCACTTGCTGGACAAATTATGTAAAGAGATAGAAAAGGATCTGCGCTTATCAGTTCATACACACCTAAAGCTGGATGACAGAAACCCCTTCAAAGTTGGTATGAAGGATCTAGCTCACTTCTTCTTTCTGAACCCAATACGTTTTTTCAATCGATTCATTGACATAAAAGGTGAGGAGTTACACATTTTCTTGATTCCATTACTTTCATCTCTGTTACACGTTAGCTTAGTATATCTTTCCAGTTCTTTCCACGCTTCCCTAACTAAATGGGTACTATTATTTTAGTTCATCCTTCTATGTGTTCACAGCTTATGTAACTCACTATTTGGACAAGACCTTCTACAACTTAACGACTGTAGCTCTTCATGACTGGGCCACCTACAGTGAAATGAGAAACCTAGCAACTCAGCGCTATGGTTTAAGTATGACTGAAGCACATCTTCCCAGCCAGACTCTGGAACAGGTACAATGCCCACAAGATATGAATATAATTTGTTCCATTACACTCTTATACTAGTGAGCTATTCAAAGGACTGAGTCTTTGAAATGAAATTACCCAAGAGTAGAGAACTGTTTGGAAAAAGTGACCCTTTCACTTCTGGTTGACTTCTGAGACAGGAGCTTTACCTGCCTTTGGAGATAATATTGATATCATTTAATTTTGTGTTGGACGTGTATCATTCTTTTTTTTTTTAACAGAAGATTTAATAAAATAGAGTATACAAAGAGAATGTTTTCTTAAAAATTCAGTATTATCAATTAGACAAGCAATACGTCTGGAATACAACTGTCACAAGTCTGGAATGACCTTTGAATGTTGAGTCTTTTCCTGGGTTTATTGCTTGCTTCTCAGCAAGTTCTGCTTAGTGATCATCAAGACAAACCGTTTGACAGGCTGGCCGTCGAGGACTTTGGCACATGCATGCTTAGCTTAATAGGAGAGTGACTCAGAGTATCCTAGAAACTGCTAAACGTGGTTACATGTAGAGTAAAGTTGTAGTTTCATCAAGTTAATGGTGAAGGCATTCACTGTTACAGCGTTAGTGCAAAAGAAATACAACTTGGATGTTTCTGAAGACTTTCCTTCAAGAGTTTTAGTATCTTGGGTATTTTTGGCAGTTAGCTTCATTCCCTTATTTGGGTTAGCATGTTGGTGAAAGCTCTTAGAAATACAGCCTCTTTTTTTTTTTTTTTTTTTTCTAATGTTCATGATGGCTGTGTCTTCCTAAGTTGAAGGAGGGCATAGAACTAAGAACTCTTGCTGCTTCTTGGTACAAAAGTGTTGTGGATTAGTTTTTCTTTCGTCTTTGGCTACTGGCAATATTTGGCCATGACATTGTTAGAAAGAATTAAATTATCTCACAACATTGGTTTTGTAATATTCATTCTGATTTGAGCTTTACTTCAAAACAAAGACACCCCAGGCTCCATTCCCCCCAGCCCCAGCAAAATCGTGATAAAATCCTTGGCACAACTGGAAGTAAAGTGTATAGATTAAATAGCATCCTCTTGATGCACAATGATACTGAAGGGACTCCTTCAAGCAAAACAATTGTAAGACTTATATTGTAAATACAAAACTTCAGTCTTCTAGACAGGTTGGGCAAAATGATATCAAAAAGTAGCTAGATGATTGTGTCTGTGTAGAAATCTATGTTGCCTATAGAAATTTCAAAGGCGAAGTTCCATTTTCTGGAATCTGAGAGCAGCCAAATCTCAATTTTATTTGAGCAGCCAAATCTCAATTTTATTTGAGCAGCCAAATCTCAATTTTATTTGAGCAGCCAAATCTCAATTTTATTTGAGCAGCCAAATCTCAATTTTATTTTAGTGTTTTTTTTTTTTAAATTGCGATTTGAGCAGCCAAATCTCAATTTTATTTGAGCAGCCAAATCTCAATTTTATTTGAGCAGCCAAATCTCAATTTTATTTTAGTGTTTTTTTTTTTTTAAATTGCGTCTTGTGGGATAGACTGGAGGATTCCTTAACTTCAGGGGAAGTTGGAAAAAAACAGGCAGAAGTGTAAATGTTAAAATGTGAGCTGAGCTTTTTTTCTCATGTAAGCATTATCTTGCAGATACTGAGCAAAAATTGTTAAGAGATTCTTTATTTTGCAAAGTGAAAACATTGCTTTCTAAAATGCTTTCAAGGAACTACAGAAACAGTATTTGTGCACCTTAGTGGTTAGGCATGCTAGTAGTTCTTGAGAATTTTTATCATAATAATTCTCAATAGATAATATTGTTTCAGGGTCTGGATGTTTTGGAAATCATGAGAAATATTCATGTTTTTGTATCCCGCTACCTCTACAATCTGAATAATCAGGTAAGATATATCCCATACTTTTTTCCTGGATTTGGCTCTGGTTTGAAGGGATTGAGAAATGCAGAGTAGTATACTTGTGAGAGAAACCCAAGCTGAACATACGTAATAACAAGCTCTAAAATAGCTATTGCTGCTCTAGAAAAACATTATTGGGGATACTCTAGATAGGTCTCAGAGAATGGTCTCTAAGCATATTTTGAGTACAGTGTGCCACTAGGATCACTCCATGTCAGATATTACCGTGAAGCTAGGAGAAGGCAGCAAGGATAATTGGCTGCTATATAAGGACATACAAAGTACATGATTTTTCAACTTGAAAAAAGGGTATGTGAAAATGGGTTATCAGAGAGATGAAGCAGTGAATGACATGGAGAACATGTACAGGGAACAACCCTTTGTGGTTTCTCACAATGTGAGAATGAGGGGCCCTCTACAAAAATAAGCGGCTTCCTTAAAGGGAAGTACTTTTTCTCATAGCACATAATTCAGTAGTGGAACTCATTGCCATGGTATGTAGCAGGGCCAAAAGTACAAAAAAGGTGCCAGAGGAGTTTAGACTAGTTAATGTAGGATGCAGTCTTAATAAATATTAGAGTTTGGGTGCAACACGTGCCTTGGAATTGTTGAATCACTGCTTTGCAGAAATCAGAACCTACCAGGTAAAGTTTATTGTATGCATGCTGTATTTTCTTGGTTCTTTCCC